ACAATTTTACCCTAGCTTCCTAACAGTTTGGAGTGAACAACTAGAGGAAGGCCTTGTATTCTTACGATTTACATGACATTAATAGGTAAAATGTGTGTACTGTAATCTTTTTCACTGAGGTTTAAGATAAAGGCAGTTTCAGAGGCCAGTGCTTAACATTTTAGATCAAGTTACTGCTTTTCTGACTGATCTGCTCGACATTGCGGTGGACAATGTAGGAGAGCGTACGTTGTCACTTTCTGTGCCTGGGTGCCTGAGGGGTGCAGGCTCAATGTTAGTTCACTTCCCTTTCTCCTAAATATTTTATGAATTTCCGCTGTACGATAACCACTGTCACCATTCAGTGTATAGTGGGGAATTCTTAGGCATATATGTCTCTACCATGCTCTGCCTTACAAAGCTTTGCCGACTCTGAATTCTACTAGTTTCTCAGGTCTTGCACAGAATGCATTTGTAAGGAAAATGTATCCCCTATGGCTTGCAGTCTCCCCCACCGGTGTTAACACTTCAAATTGTTTCCTAATTGCAGAAAACTGTAGTTGATTAATAATTAAATATTTTCAGGTGGAATCTTTGTTCACCCATGAGGTGTTCAGTCCTTAGAAATGTGTGAATTGCCTATTTCCTAAATATTGGTTGAAAGTGTTTAGGAGAAGAAGTGAAGATAAATATCACAGACATTTGAAATTGCATGGGGAATTGCAGGCAGGGAAAATGAAACAAATTGCATACTTGATTGAGATGCTGGAGGACCTTTTTAAGTCATTATGCTGTATCATTCTTCCATTTAGTGTAATTTATTTTCTCTCTCTTGAATCTTTGCAGATAGATTTATTAAAATATTGTAACTATTCTAAAATAGGTACACATTCATCTGCAGTAAAATTGCATTTGCCATACAGTAGTCCAGGTACTTAATATAGATGACATAGTCCTTCTGGTTTTTATTGCACACAACCCAAGTAATTTGTAGTGTTGCTGTGGTAATTCTAAACCTGGAGTTTTAATTTTTTGGTTTGAATTTTTGTTTGAATTATTTTTTATAACCATTTTAAAAAAACTTGTTCTTTAAAATTTCCCCATACAGAGTTTTCTGTAAAACAGAAGTGGAAAGGAGTCAGTAATTACATGGCTGTAGTTGCGGGTAGTAGTTTAAATTTTAGAACAGATTAGTTACTAATAAACTTACAGCCTCATGTCAATTTTTTGAATATCCTGTTAAGCTGCTAATCAATACCCTGTTTCAATCTCAAGGTATCTCAAAATGCAAACAGTAAGTCATCTTTGGCTGGTTTTGTCTTTGAAGGGATGGAAACCTCATCCAAACACATACACGATTCAGAATGTAAAAAAGTAATACCCTATCTTAACTCAGTCTATGGTGAAAATATCTTCTAGAGAGTACAGAGTCAGTAGAGACCTATGATCTATAGTAGAGTAGTTAATGATGTTGACATTTTACTTTTTCTGAAGGGACTTTTAATAAAATATGTGTAAAATACTTTAGGGAACCTGATACATCAGTGAGTTACATATTTATTGCCAGCTAAAGTAGGAAATGTGCTATTTATTGAGTCATCAGGCCATTTCTCTAAACATTTTAGAATTTCTACACTGAAAAAGAATGACATGCATCCAGCAACTGTCTCCTCCCATTATTTGCAAGACTGTTCATAGCACTAGTTTAGATATTCCTGGCTAAGCTTTCAGATTTTCAGTAATATTATTGTATATCCGTATCAAAATTGTATATCCACATTGTTATTCTTGCAATGTATAAAACTATTGTACACATTTTCTTAGAACTAAGTATCCTGAATGTATCAACTCTGTCAATCCTCCCTCATTTTACTATATACAAAAGAGTTACAGCACTAACAAGTTCTTCTACCTTTACAGTTATAGCTGCTAGTAACTATTATGGTTTGGCTGGAAAGACACCAGAGTCTCTTGACTAGCATCATGTTTCTATAGTGTTCCCAGTTTTCTTCAAGATGTCAAGATACTCTGCATCATAAACATCATCTTTAACAAGTCTTTCATCATATCTCATAAATGTACAGACTGTAACAATAAACTTCAGACAAAACCTGTGAAAAGCATGTAAAAATATATTACTCTCCTACTAACTTTCTCATCATTCACTGTTTAAGTAATGTTCTTTTACCATGCCAGTAGCAAATATACTCCCTTCTCGAAAATGATTAGCTGTTTAAGAGCAGCTTGCTACCTTTATTTTGTATTAAACCCTTTTTGTTTGTTAAAGTATCTCAGAGATAGAAAATGACAGGTTATTTCTGAAATATCTTTAAGTACCTTTCCCTAGACCTGAGTGAACTCTTGGAAATTAACTAAAAATGGTGTTCAAATTCAGGCTGTACATCTGTGGATTTTTCTGTAATTTTCTTGTATCTTCAATATCTTCCTAAATATAATTTAGAATAAAACTATACTCCTGTTTATAATGACTGAAAAGTTGGGATTTATGCCAATGTTAATTCTACAACAGCAGAAGTCTAAACAGCAAGATAATGGAAGATCAAAGGATTTGTATAATTATTTTATCTTTCAAAAATACTGATGCAATACTTTCCCTTCTCCTGATTTTTTTTCAGTTCTGTTTTGGTTATGGAAACATAACACTTCCTACCTGACCTGAAACAAAACCTCCATGCTTGAAGCTATGACAATGTTGAGTAAAGCAGAAGGGTCCCTCCATGACTCTCTGTATTTCTGCCTCAGCCCATTTGCCTTGTCTATCTTACACTTCAGCTACTTTGTGAAGTTTTTATCCACAATATAGAAATTTCGTCAACCAAATTATCTTTCAGAAAATCACCTTGAGGCAGTTTCAATAGCTTTAGTTAAGATTTATGGTTTCTCTACTGTATCTTCAAAATAAGTAAATAGTTTGGCTTGAGATATATTCTTTATTATTGTGTTAGTTATCACACATTCCTTTCTTTTTTCCAAATGGTCACAAATTGCTCCAAAATTTTGCCAGATGTATTGAGTTGGGTAGATTTTATTCAATCAAATAATGACATATTTATGGCCTTAGTTAATTGACCCAGAATTATAGATGAGAACAAAAGTAAACTTCTCATCATTGCCAGCAAATTAGTCTGGTTTTTTGGATTTTCCTACTGATCTTAGCATGTCCACATAAGGAGAAGTTTAGGCACATGCAAGAGTGTAGATTTAGTATTCTTTTCCTGGTAGAAATACAGCAACATTCTTCATCAGAATTTGCTCTAAATGTACTGCAGTTTGAGCAGATCTGGGTAGCTCAAACTAGTAGTAGTTGAGTGTCAACACAGAGACAAGGATAGAAAGCAAAGGCCTCAAATTCACTGGTAGTAATCAGCAAATTCCCACTTCTTTCCTTCCTCAGGAGCAAGGATGTGCCTATTCAGAGGCATCCATACACTCCTGTTCTCAGTTGCCACTCTATTACATATTTGCTGGTTTGGCAACAACATTCCCATAACTGATGTAAGAGTGCAATAAGAGAATGCTGGAGATGATTGTCCTATGTTTTAAACACAGCAACAAAATTACTGTCTGTATACCAGACTGACACTATTCTCTCTACTTAAACAGTTTGTTTTCCATGTTAAGGGGAATGGGTCCAAACAACCAACCAAATAAAAAAGGGGAGAGAAAAATGATCTCACAAATGCTAAACTGAAATATTTAGGATGGAAAGTTCCATTCTATAAAGGGAAAATATATGCATGAAATTTTGATAGTTACATCACTTTTGTTCCAGTTCTCAAAATAAAGTCATTCAGTGCATTTGATGAGAGTCTCAAAGCCAAAAAAATACACAAGGGAAAAGTGGAAAAATTCATGCTGAGTATTATTTGTAAGTGTTATACAAAAGACTATAATGTTACTGAGATTTTCTTTTAGTCTGGAGTCTAAAGAAAGAAATCAAGACTCAGATGCTGTGATGCTCTTCAATCCTTTATCTTTGTTCAATTACAAGTAATTTTTAGAAAATGCTTCAATAAGAGCAATGACCATGTTTGAAATAATAAAATCCTGATTCCTTTTGAAATGCTGAAATAGTATAGTTTATGTCATATTTAGTTGTACAAAAATTCAGTGTGGGACTGAAGAAAATTCAGTGTGAGTTGATGTGACAAAAATTTACTGAAGCCAAACCAGCAGGTCAGCATAAGAAATTGCAAACATCCTAGAACTTCAAAAAGAAAATAAAAATCAATTGTAGTAGAAATCAACTGAAATTAAGCTGTGAATGCTTAAATCCACTGCAGTTTAAAGAACTTGTGGTCCTCTGAAAAGTACTGTCTGGAGCTGAGCATAGAAAAGTGGACCGAAGTGTTGCCTTCTCAGAAATTTTCTCTTATTTTGAGTGTATTTTTGAGAGGAGGGGCACATCTGTCTGGTTAGGCCAAAAAAAAAAATTTTTCTGAATAGGAGTATGTGGTTGCACAGTGCTTATTTGTGCTTCTCATATAAAGATCTAGTCTTGTTGCCAGCTTGTGTAAAGAAATACAAAGCATTTTTTAAAATACCAATAAAATCACCCTGTCATTTCTCCAAGAAAGTGTTGTGCTTGCTTTTAAATAAGAAATTGTCTGATCTATCTGAAAGTGAACATCATTGAACATTTCTACAAAACAGAACATTAGTTTTCAAATAGATCTATCTTTCTCTGACATTTCTCCTTTCCTCTTGCTAAAGGCTCTATTGCTTTGGAATTTATCCAGTGCACTGTGTCTTCTTAGATTTGCCCATTACCTTCAGTATTATTATTCTTGCAACTGTTTCTGATATCGGTTGTGCCAAGATTTCAGTGCAGTCCAACTGTGTGGCCACAGAAGCTTTCTCTCCTGGTGATTTTAATTGGCATAAGTTGTATTAGGGTGTGATTTTTATTTTTGTGAAAATCAAATGTGGGTCTTATGGAATAACTTGTTCTCTTTCTTGGATATTCAGTTTCTAATTTTTGATGCAATACCTTCTGGGTTTCCTAAGTGAAACCCTGGCTGGCATTTTAAGTGATGACTTCTTTCTCCATAGAACCATAGAAAACCTCAGGTTGGAAGGGACTTCAGGGTCTCTGGTACAATTTGTTCAAAGCAAGGGCAGCTGTGAGATTAGACCAAGTTGCTCAGGGTTTTACTCTCCCTTCCCTCATTGACATAATTATTGCAATAGATTTCAGTATTTTTATTATTTTTATTTTCCAGGGAATCTTAATATAATTTTTGGTTTCAAAATTTGAATATGCCTTATAATCACCCATAATGCTCCAATTGTTCAAAAATGTGAAGGTTTTAGCTAGAGGATTAATTTCTGATGGACTGTTAGCTGCGTTGGGCAGGGCACGTCTCCAGAATGAAGGACCACCGCATCCCTAAGATCCTGCTCTATGGTGAACTTGCCACCGGCTGCCGCATGAGAGGAGCCCCGAAGAAAAGATACAAAGAGTCCCTGAAACAACATCTTAGCCTTGGCCATATTGATCAACAGAACTGGTCTACTCTGGCCTCCAATCGTGAGGTCTGGAGACACACCATCTATAGCACTACTGATGCCTTTGAGAACACACGCAGGATCAGTCTCAAGGAGAAAACGCAACGCAGAAAGAACCGTGTCTTGCAGAATATACCACCTAAGGAGTCTTTCTGCTGTGCCTTTTGCAATCGAATATGTCTATCTCGTATTGGCCTCATTAGCCACCAGCGTGCCTGTAATAAATGTGGATAGAGCCTTCCTAAATCTTCGTTTGCGAAGCCTAGCCATGATCATGTAAGGTTTCTAAGTGCAAGTAATCTCATCACTTGGATTGCTTTGTGCATAACAGGAAAATTGCAAGGTACCACAGTAAAGTGAGTGCAATTTGAAGTGCATGTGACTGCTCAAAAGCACAAAATGAAACATATAAATCAAAATTAGACACATGAATGGGCACAAAAATCTCCTGGAGTATCCTTTCTTATAATACTACAGTAAAAAAAAATTCTCATTTGTTTTTCACTAAGCAAAGTTGTGCATATTTAATAAAACATAATTCCAGTCATGAATTAAATTGCGTATTGTGATTCAGCATAAATTATAGATGAAAAAGGTACTGTTCTCTGCAAGAAGGAGAAAGGACGAAGAAATGACTATCTAAATCAGTTTGCGAATTACTTGTTAGTGACAAGGGTCACATTTTTATATAAGTGAATGTTTAGCCTATAACAAGTCCAGGAGTCCAGTGCATGAGTTCAAGCAAAAATCACTGGTGGTCAGAAGGCATTGATTTCATGACAGTAGAGGTAACAAAGACATGACTGAAGTCTTTCAGAGAAACATACCATCTATTCACTTCTATACCACATAGTTCTGAAAGCTTGGGAAAAAAAAAATTTGTCTTCTGTAGGAGTTATATGGGGGGGGGTGTTGTGGTTTTCTCTTTGTTTGTTTTCCTTCCATGCTTGAGACTGACTCCTTTATACAGAAAAGGCTTTAATTCCAGGCTGTGTTACAACCCCCTTGAAATGGGTCTTGATAATGAAAGGGCTGAGCCATGTTTGCAGCTTGCCAAAATGGCACATCTGTCACCATAAAAGCTGTGCCATGAAGTGACAAAAGAAAGCCAGTATATAATACGATTTTTTTAAACTGTAAAAATAATGCAAAACAAGGGCAGGGCATTTGTCAAATAAATCTGGCATGATCTAATCCTCTTTGTGCAGTGTTTAATTTTCAGGTGCCTGAGCTAAGTAACAAACAAGTTAGGAGGCCCTCTACTAACACAAATTACAGTAACTGAAGGAGGCGTTAGCTCCTGCCCCTTTTGAATTGTGGGCTTTTTCTATTTATACAGTCCCTCCCTGGATCACTTACTATATGTTATAATTATTGTTTAGTAGCATCGGAGGGAGTAAACCTGCTAGAACTGAAATATGCTCATTCAATCTCTCTCCTCAAGTGGTGTCTCTTGATAGCTCATTTCAAAATGGGAACTGACAGCTCATCTCTTTGTCTCCCCTAATCAAATCCTTTTTTTCTTTTGTAGGCTGCTGTTCAGAGGAAATTGCATTTTGCCGTAGTTTTGATGTTTTGCGAAGCCATGTTACAGGTAAAGGGGTAGTTGGAGGTACAGAGGCAAGGTTGTGACCTCATAAAAAAGGCAGTGTCAATTTTGTTTGTATCAAATTGAGGTCGGTAGCAGTTGCATGAGGACAAATAAAACTGAAGTTTAGCTGCTTTTAATTTTAGTTACTTAAATGTTGAGGTGTTGATAAGGCTAGTGATAACTTGTACTAAAAAGGAAACTTTGCACTGCAGATTTGGATAAAACAAAAGAAGTTAATGGTGGCATTTTATCCTTGACAACCTGATTTCCTATAGCCTTGCTTCTTTTCCTACACAAATTTAGCACCCCAGAATATACATCCCAAGTTATCATTCCAACTTGAAAAATAATTAATAAAAAACAATTTAAGCCTAGTATATATATGTTTTTTTGAAAACATGGAAATGAGCCTTATATTTTAAGTATGTACATAGGCAGTCTACATCAACCCTGCACACCTGAAGTACCACAGTTAGGTGTGTAGTCACTGTAGATGCTCTTTCTAATCAGTGGGGAGAAAGTGGCTCCTGATGAAAAGCATTTCTCTTCTTAATATCTGACCAACCTTCATGGACCTGCCTCCATCTACAGACAATTGATAGAGTCTTGTTTCAGTAACATCCACAAAGAATATGCATGGCACATGATGAATATGTGTCATGTTGCAGAACAGTAATTGCAGAGCAGAGGAAAGGGAGAAACTGTTTTGCAGAACCAAATATTAACCTGGAAACAAGAGGAATCCAAACTGGGCTAAAAGAATTTCAGTGAGTATTTTCACAAGTGGTGTTTTCATCGCTTGTGTAGCAGTTTGATTCTGATTGTGTTTCAAAGATCTTAATGAGGATCAGTGTAGATACTAGATTGCTTTCCTCTTGGTTATGTTTATAAATCTCTATGAAAAGCAGAATAAGGAGCTGCTGATGTTGGAACAATTATAACCTCCTTTGTGAGGACCTATTGAATGCAGCAGTGAAAATGAAGCAGTATGTATTCTGTTCTATTTGAAACAATTTTCTTTCTCTACCTTTTCTTATTTCAAAGGAAAAAAATATCACGTCCTAAAGCAGCTGCAGCTGTAGTTTTTGTGAGTTTTGTTTGCTGTTTTTTTTTCCTTTTACCTTAGTGTCTAAATTAATAAAAGCATTTTTAATTACTTTTTTTGTTCTTTACAAAGTCGACTCTCATGAGGTTGAAAACAACTTTTTCAGTGTTTGTGCAACCACAAAGCCCTTTGTGCTGGGTTCATTGCAAGCTGATGCTGACTACATGTGTCATGCAATGATTTGAGTTCTCAAATCTGGCTGGTTTAGCATCCTTAGAAAAGGTTCTTCAGTAGGAATAACTGTAAAATAAAGCTGTGGAGATTGTGATAATTTGAGTGTATTCCCTGATTCTTTCCCACTGGTGATTAATCTTCCCTTCATTCAGCTGAATTTGAGACTGTGGAGGGAAGTACTGATTACACTTCTCTGTACTACTAAGAAAAAAGTCATTTTCTTATCTTTAAACTGGAAAAATGAAAAGGGTGAGTTCTACACAATGCAAACCCAAACTTATACTTACATTTGGCAAAAGCCTTCCTCAAACTTGAGGAGTTTAAGGAGTATAATTATTATGCATTATTATTTTTACTATACTAATTACTTCTGTTTCCTTTTAAGGCACGTTGTTTTTCATTTTCAGTATGGCCCACGTGTGTGTGTGTGTTTGATTTGTGATATAGAGCAAGAGTGATTCTCACTGCCAGCAGAGAAGTAGGCTGGCTCATCAGTTCTCCTGTGTACACAAAGGGAGAGATTGCTGTAGACTGTGAATGCCGAACTCCATCTGAAGGAAAAGGCCCCTTTTTTATATCTTTTTTTTGCCTTGTCTTATAGCCAATTTTCCTGATTGGTTCCCAGCATTGTTTCTTTTAAAAGCTTTGGAAGCTTTGCTTCCAAATATACGTAGTGTCCTGTGCCTGCACATTACCTTAGCTCAATAAGAGAAGCTCATAAGTCATTTTGGACAATTCATATAATGTGTGGTAGGATGTGTACAGCATGCTATGCTCCTCTTTTTTCACAATGAAACCGCTATTAAGTGATATAAATTTTTTCCTAATTATAATTTACTGCACTCTTTTGTAGTGAAATGTGAGAATCTTTTTCCAGAGAACAATATATGACTGATACCTGCAGACACAAGGCAAGACATCATTATAGCTCTGTCTTTTCATTTTTCTTAAAGTTAGCTACAGATATTTTGTTAAATTTTTACATTAAAACACAGAGAATTGGAGTTTGATTTTTTGTTGTACGTTTATCAAGAAAATTAAATCCATTTAATTTGCACAAGTATAAATTCTACGTCTCACAAAATCCTAGCAACTTCAAAGAGAGAATATGTTCAGCACCTGTGGAGTCGGAGAAAATTGTTGGCATCAGTGGTCAAACACAAAGGGGACAAAGTGCAGGAAACCAATGGTGAGAATTCTCATTTGTTGCAGGGATAATACATATGTATGCAATAACTTCCTGGAAGGCCAAGACTTCTCTATTTTTTCTACACCTATTTCCATAAAACTGTTACTGGTTGGATTCAGAATAGATATATTGGGACTTTGTTTGATCTAGGTCTTCAGTGATTAGCTATTACATTTTTGTTACTTTTTTGAGTTATCTGTGGAACTGTGACTTTTGCTTATATTGTGCTAGGAAAGGTGTGTTCTTTCTAAAGTTCATGTCTGTATTGTTTTTCTGCTGTAGCTGATACAATTTGGATTTATCTTCATTCTTGTTTTTCTTTGTTTAATTTCTTGCTGCATTATTTTCTATTTTGCAACATAGTCTGTTTGATTTTGATTTCTTCCAAACCCTTTCTTACTATTTTGTGTAAACAAGAAAACAAACTTTACATTCAACAGGTAGGGCACCGAGATATTACAGCAGTCTTTACACAGATAAAGTACACCTTGCTTATGCTTCCTTCTAGCACTTATAAATATTTTTCCTGATGTTGTAGTGCCAGGACTATTAATACTAAATCTGTGCTAAAAAATGCAGCAGTATTAGTTTGGTCCAGGCAGACATGGTACATATTTATTTTTTGCTTTAATCTTTGGTTAAATGTAGCATGCTGCCTGTATTAATTATATTTTTGTTTCAAATCATGTCAAGAAAATGAGAAATACCTAATATGGTGTGAAATCATTTGGTGTCGAGAGATGATAACAATTTTGATTAGAAACAGCTTATATTAAGTTAAACCATCAAAAGTTTTTGAGCTAATGACAAGAGCTTATCATCAATTGGTGCAATATACCCAAAGATGCAACAGTATCTAACCTTTTGGCATACTTTCTGGAGTCATAAAGGTGTTTGATTCATAAAGGTAACTTCTTGGGTTAGGCTGAGCTAGTTTTTCAATAATTCCTTATTAAAATATTTATTGTTATCTCTGTATCTAGTTTATGAAATTCCATCTAACCATAGTAAAATGATTTCTGGCTAATTTTCCATTTCTCCTCTCAGAAGACAGTAACTGAGCCACACAACAATGCAAGTCACAAGACTCTTTTTATATACTGCATTTTTAACTCTTCTTACTTTCCCAGCTGAAATGCACAGACCATTGGCATAGTGGCTCTCCCTCTCCTTTTCCCTTGCTAGTCATAGTGTCCCTGTGGAATGGAGAGCAAAAGTGGGAGGGAGCACTTCCTTACCTACTCACAGCTTTTCTACTGTGTGTAGGAAGTTAAAACATAAAATAACTGTTGAGAAAATAACTGTTTTAGTATGGCAAGAAGACAAGTAAATGATTCTGAACACTCTCAGTTACATTTAATAAGGTTTATGCTTCAGAATATGCCTGCAGTTCAACATTAAAGATGGACATCTACAATTAACAGATCAGTAATTCATAATAAAGAATAAAGTCTTTTAAAATAAGAAGTTCTGGCAAAGATCATTTCCATGTCATCTAAGATAACATATTATTAATTTTTGTACTTATGTGGAAAACAAAATCTGATGAAGACCATTGCATATATTCTGCCTTTAATTTTTTTCACTACGGAAATGTTCAAAATATTTTAGAAGCTGTTCAGACTCAGTATTTTAATTTTACTTTTGATCAGAATGACCTAATTGAAGGTGAAAGTAAAACTAGTAAAAAAATAAGAGGAAATTGCTGGAGGAATTGGGAAATATTTAAGAAGGTTAGAGGCTCAGGTAATATCCTACTGGCTCAGCATGATATTGAAATGGTCATTGCATGCATTCTTTTCTAATCACATGTGACACCATAATCATTATTTGCTTTGAGACATCTTGCAATCAGAATTGTTGTTTTATTGTGCCATGCACACATGCAGATGAGATCTGCCCAAGTTGCCTCATCTTTGATTGTCAAGACCTGTTATGTTTCTTTAAATTCTTCTTCAGTGTGCAGACATTAATTTTTTTTAGTTTAATTCTACAATTTCAGTTCAATAAAAACTTTCCTAGCCTTGGAACATCTCAGTATGGAAACACTATAATAGTTATATATATATATGCCTTTGGGTTTTCTACTGTAACTGCAGCAAAGTTTTCTAGTTTTCAAAAATTGCCAGAAGCAGAGGGAATAAAGGTCATTTATAGTTTTGATAACCCTCATCATCATCCCTCTATGACTACAAGGATGTGTTTATTTATATATGCTCCACTTTTTTCTCTGCTCTATGCCAAATTTTACTCCTCAAAACAGCCATTTCATTTTCAAAGAGATCTCAGGAAATCAAAACATTTTTTTATAGTTGACCTACAGTGCTTATAAATCAGGATCACCCAGGCAATGAAGAGAGAGAAATGTGTAGATTAAAAATGGAACTCTATAAAAATAGAGCTAAGAACATCCATCGGTACAAGAAGTCCTTAAAATATGGGAAACATGAATAATGTAGATCTCTGTTGGACTCAATATGCTCAAAACAGAGAGTAGGCATCATTTTGCCGATATTGCGGGCCATAAAACTAAGGAAGAACATAAAAGAAATTACTTGTTCGTTTTCATCAAACAGGGTAGTGACAGAACTTGCCCAGTTTTGAGTTTTTCATACGTCTCATGATTGAGATAGAGTCAATTGTAAGACAATAAAGTTAAATAGAGAAAATGGTTTTGTGGAGAATATTCAAGTCCAGGGAGTCCTGGTTTTTCTTCCTCATTTTGCTGCTGATCAGTACTCTCCTATGCTTGGAACTTTAGGCCTTGTTGCTTGTGCTAATGCTCATTCACCCTCTAGCACTATTTTTTCCCTGCTTGGTAGACAATTGCACCCACCTTTACAGAATACAGCACAGAAATGTGCTTTGGTGCTTGAAATCTGTGCTAGTTTGAAGGAATTTGTCCTATTCCTATAAGCTTATCGCCCTCTAAGACTCCTTCTCCCCCTTCCTCACTCCCTGGAAAATAGCAGTAGGTGGTTATGGCACTGTGCAATTGTACTTAGAGGAGCATTGTTATACCAGTGAGGTGACCATGCTCTTCTCTGCTGAGTTTAGGTGTGCTTTCCTTCTGCACGATATATTCTGTCTTGGTCAAGCCAGGCTGGAGTTTGTCCAGCTTGCAGATTAGGCTTTAATTGGCCCAGACTGGGGGTCGCTATAGCAAAGGATTCCATGCTGGAGGACTGTTTGCCTAGCCACTCCTTAGGATCTAGGACTCTTTTTTTCTGGTAGTGCTGCAGTTGAGCTCTGCTGTGGTAGTCGGCACTAAGCAACAGGAGTGAGAGTTGCTA